TTGGGGGGAAAAAAAAAAAAACGGCCGTTAACCTCCCTGTGGTCCCCTCATTTGTCTAGCAGAGATGACAAAGCTCAGCTGTCCATCTAGGGATTCAGAGATGAAGGCTGTCATTTATTAAAGCCATTTGAGGACTTGTGTATGAGAAGGACATTCCTGAGCTGGGAAGCTGATGACAATGGGTCTGGAAGCTTTCTTTTCCAACTGAGCAAGACTGTTTTCCCTTCCTGCCAGGACTATAGCTGTTTGGCAGGATAGGGGAACCTGCAGAGCTGATTCTGATGGTCTGTGGATAAGTAAAGGAAATGAACATCTTCTGACAAGTGTTCTGGCTGTTCTTATAAATGGGATACTTGACTTGAAAATTGTGTTTAGGATGTTTTTCACTCCCTTCCCAAGCAAGTACTGGAAGGAACCTCAGTGTCCTAAGCACTTATCCCTGTTTGCAAAACAACTGTTACTCTCTATGTCTTTGTTTGTAACGATTGGGTGGCTGCCACTTACACAGCTAGTTCTGGGTTAAATGGTCCAGAACTACCAGCATCTTTGCTGCGCATATTCTGAACATGAAAGATGCTTCAATAAAACAAACGCAGTAGTTTTCATGGAACTGCAGTAAAATGTGTCTTGTAGCTGATTGTCTGCCTAGGAAACATGGTAATAAAAGTATGTAAAAGTGTGAACAGATTAAACAGAAATGGAAATTTCTTATAAAAGCCATTGATTTCTTTATATGCTAGCTACTATCAATTATTCAACACTGTGATCTGAGGAACGATTATTCTGATAAAAGCTGAGAGGATCAGAAAGATTGGAGCGTCATTCATCTGTGAAAATCTATTCACCTAGCCATTTGCAATTCTGTCACTCTTTGCAAGTTCTCTGGATGGGGGTCAGCATCCCCTGAAAATACGAGGTATTTCAAGGGCAGATTCTATCTTGTCCGCATATTTCAGCCCAGTTTCCTGTCTGGGCTATGGTGCCTGGGCATGAGGATTTGGTGAGATTTTCTTCTGAGCCAGTCAAAGTGGTGTTGTCCAGAGGGTTCAGTATTGAATAACACAGGACAGCTTGTTGCGCCAGGCCTCTGAGCACACTAACACTGCACTGGGTATGTGAAGGCAGAAAAGGATCTGGGATCCTTTAGCGGTAGATATCCCCTTTGTTCCTTGCAGAAGGGTATCTTGTAATCCCAGGCTGTCAGCCCTGAAAACATGGAGGAAGAGTGAAATTCCAAGGGATTATTATTATTTTTCATTTTGCAAATTCCGAGGTGAAAAGAAGCAGGGGGGAATGAGGCAGTCCAGCTGCTCATATGCAAAGCAGCTGGAACTGGCTGGCACAGGAGAAGCTGTGTGGTAGGTCTCAGTGAAAAGCATGCTTGTTAGTTTAAAGAAATGTAAAGTTTTCAGTGCAAGCACCCTTGCAGAACAGAAAGAAACAAGTATTCCTATGCAAGAAGGGATGAACTCGGAAGGAGATGCTCTCAGTCAAACATGCACATGGCAAGAATTTCCCAGCGCAGTCCTACATTGCACTACTTCACCACTTAAGCCTCAGGCTAAGGCAAGGTCTGGAGAAAATGAAGAGCTAAAGTCAGTTTTTGTGTGTTGGTAGGGATGAAGGTGCAAGTTCCTCTCAGACTCCTTGGGAATTCGTTGCTATGTAGAGACACCCACCCTGGTTTGTTTACTGCTCTCTTGGATACAGGGAGCTGAATAGACTCAAGGAGTCACCTGGTCCATCCTCCTGCCTCCAGGGCCGGATCAATGCTACTTAAACTATATGCAGTTGAGGTCTGTCTCACCTGCAGTCTGAGTGTTTCATTAACCTTGCTGTTTAAGATATTTTTTAAAAATCTGAGTTAATCTTTCTGCAATTTTAGCCAATGCCTATTTGCCCTTTTCTGTTTGTAGCGCTGTTCTGACACGGTTATTGTGTCTTCTCCCCTCCTCTCAGTGCTTTTGTAAAATAAGCCATCTCAGATCGTTCTCACTGCTTTCCTCTGGATTCTCTTCAGTGAATTCACATCTCTCTTGAAATGAAGTGCTCAGAATAAATACACAGTTTCAGTTCCCTTTCTTGTCTGTAGGGATGGCTGTTGCCATTATGCTATGGAGAGTAAACCAAAGGATGAGCTTTTCAGAGGAGTGCAAGACAGCTGAGTTTGGAATTTGAGGTTCCTCAGACTCATTTAAAAATCTTATCTGGAGTGAAAAAGAAAGAAGAATCAAGATATTTCGTTAAAAACAATAAGCTAAGTTTTTTATGTGATATTTGGGAGTGGGGGGCCAGAATCAGTCTTGCACGGAAGTTTCTGAGTTTGTGCCGCATGAAATCAAACCCTCACTGCTCACCCAGTAGTGGGAAAGCCAAGCTACAATTGTGAGACCTCTGTTAGTGACACGCAGTCATTCTTGCCAGTCTGCGCAGCCCGGGTTTGCTTCGTTGCTCTCACAGTTGAGAAACCCACAGTCTGGGAGGTCAAACTTGCTTGGGAAGCTGAAGACCAGAGGCAGACTTCCCCAGCACCGTTTCCGTGGAGTTGTTTTCGGTATGTGACCAACAGTGAAAAAGACTCCTGGGGCAGAGGAGCTTGTATTTCATTTTGCTACGTTTTTAGACGTGTTTTCAGTCACCTGTGATTCTGGGTCTCACTTTTTGTCAGCTGTGGAAACCGAGCTCTTCTGTGTGCATAGTGGGATGTGAGGGGTTGCGCTTGTCTTTGTTCAGTAGAATATTCTGGGTTTTTTTTTTTTTTCACCTGCAGTCTGTGACCCAAAATGGTGTTTTACACTTCACTGCCTGCTTCCTGCTGCCTTTCATGAGCATCAACAGCCTCAGCCCTGACTCGTGTGTATTTCTTCCATTTGTTTCTTAGGTTTCCTATTACCTGTAGCCAGCTGCCTGGACTAATTACACAGTTCTTTACAGCCCCCTGGGGGGATGCAGAGTTTGTGCCTGTGTGTTACAGTGTATAAATCAAGTTTGCATTTCTTCACCTCTTCTCCAGGTCTAGTCTTTCCTCATTTCGTTTAATGAGACCATGGAGAATAGTCAGTGAATTGTGCTATCACCTTTGCCAATACTTAATTGTATTTGGCTTCATGGAGTAGGCCATTGCCTTGACAAATCTGCACATATATCATGCAATTCACATCATCAGGGAGGAGGGATATGTAAAATCACCCTCAAACAAAGGAGAGTAAGGAACATATATTTGGAACAATAAAAAACAAACAACAGGAAATGTCAGGGGCAAAGCTACTGTTAAAAATTGCAGTTCCAAAGGCTGATCCTGTGGGAACTGCAGAGTTTGCAATGGAAGAATATTTCACATAAGTTATGATTTAAACACTTTTTTTTTTTGAAATGTTGAGGCTGTATTCTTTCTTGCCTTCTAACTCTTCACTGTACAGTACTTTAACAAAGCGGAGAGACTCCTCTCTAAATTACCCTTACTATTCCTTTTTTTCCAAATCTGAGAAATTGCAGACAGGGAAAAACATAAGAGAAAAGAGAACTGTGTGTCATGTATTTTATTGTTTTGAGTAATAAAAAAGGGGATAATGAGGCAGAGATTTAGTATTTCAGTTTAATCTGAGTTAAATAAAAATGAGATGTTTTCTATCAAAAAAATATGAAGATGTAAAGGGAATTCATGCTAGAAAATAGAATTTTTTAATAGGAAAATAACCTGCTTTGCAAACTGTTCAGCTGAAGAAACATTATATCTTAAATAAAAATCAGGTTTACTTTTTGTGTGTCATCTTCCTGAGCACTCGCTCAAAGATGTTTCAGCCGCCTTTGAAACTCACTTTCATCTCACATGTAGCCTACCTACAGTGAATGCTCCTTTTTCTAATGTTAATTTACTAAGGCCAAGAGTCCTGTTGATGCTTATTCTAAAAATAAATGCTGAAATTGTAGCTCTTTGTAGAATTCTTATTTTAAACTGTGGTTCCAAATGCTCTGTAACTTACCACCAGAATGAAAGGCATTTCAGCAAGTTCATGTTGGCTGCTTTTTTTTCCCCTTAAAACACGTGCCCTTAAATGGCTATTTTAAATAGAGAAATAGCTATGTGTTCTCTAAATGTGATAGATAGGCAGCATAGGAGAAAAATCTTTGTTGTTGTGCTTTGGATAGAAACTGACAGCAGAAAAGCATTTGTCGGTCTTGCAATTTGTAGTAATGTGCTGGACCATGGAAGGTGCCAAATCAATGCACGTTCCCTATAGAAGTGTTTCTACTTGGTTAACCACTTTAAACCACTTAGTTCTTATTTTATTATCTCATTAGCAATCAAAAAACATGCTTTAGGGTTCCAAGTCAATGTAGTTACGTGGACAGCCCTTGAAATTTGCCAGAATCCCCTGGACTCCACTAATTCTAATTGTAGTTGGCACAAATTGGAAATGCAGGCAGCGATAAGCTGTTCTGAGTCTTGGAGCATTCTGAAGCAGAATGTGGAATGCTTATTATATGAGGTTATTTGACTAGATTTAACCATTTTAGGGCAAAGATAATTTTGCTAGGGACCTAAAAAATGGGTTCACACGGTTATGTGCATTCATCTACAGATCAGTCTGAGATGCACGTGTAATTGCAAACTTGGGGTGTTGATGAGGGCAGCAGACCTTGTCCAGAGTTCACGCAGATGATCATGTGAGTCCTTTCAGTCTTCAGTCTCCTATAAAATGAATGTAGATTTTGTAAACGTGGGGTTGTTGTGGCTGCTGGCCGACTTCACGAACAGCAGCAGCCCTTCAGCCTCCTCCCCGCTCCTCCCTCACCCCTTTCCCT